TCGAAGAGAATAAAAGGATAAATAATCTGCAAAAGTTCTTCAAAGTGTGAAATAAAACAGAAAAAAAGAAGAAACTCATGTCACTAAATAATAAACCAAAATGGAATCTAGACATCGGGAAAAAAATATAAAACTATATATAAATATAATATAAATTGATTTATTTAAAATATTTACATTGAGCACTATTTTGTAAAAATAAAAATATCTATAAGAACACCGGATTATATATCTTACTGTTCTTTCTTTTTATTTATATATACATATATAAATATAATAAAACTATATATAAATATAATATAAACTATATATAAATAAAATATAAACTATATATAAATATAAAAACATAAACTATAAAAATGTAATATAAAATATATAATAAAAAATAAAATATAAAAATATAAAATATATATAAATATCAAAATATGATATAATATAAATTATGTAGTATAATCTTACTTATAAAACGCAGATTGTGTGTGTGTGTGTGTGTGTGTGTGTGTGTGTGTGTGTGTGTGTGTGTGTGTGTTCGTTCGTTTATATATGGGATGGTATTTCCTACATTTTTCAACGGATTTCAACAAAACTTCACAGGACTACGTAAAATTACCGGGCGGTGGTTCTGACAGCGTCAAAAATTGGAAAAACACAATTGTTTTCGCACGAAATCAATTTGAAAGTACGGGTAAGTGTATCGCACCCGGCCGGAAGTTACGGCCGGCTACTCAAACGTCTGAAAGCGTCACCGCGGAAAACAGAACGAATGACGTTAACTTCCGGTGACTCAGCGTTTTTTTTTTGTTTTTTTTTTCAGAGAACGATACACAAGAAGTAAACAAATGAAACCTAAGCATACACAAGTCCTCCAAACTAAAAATAATAACCAGAAAATACTGTACATACACATGGTGTCCAAATGAAACCCATGTGTACAGTCAAAATGCGGAAGTTAATTTTTTAGTCATCAACCAAAAGATATTGCCAACTGACTACGCGGGGGCTGAGGGGAATTTTTGTCCCTGCCCGAGTGTACGCGCTCGGGTCTCCACATTATTCCGACCTTGTGTCACATCTCATTTTCCTGGGGGGGAATGAAAACACCGCGATGTGCTCCCCCTCTCACCTTCATCTGGCCGACCCTCGTATAAAATATAATACAAAAAATATAAACTATATACATATAAAAATATATGAACAAAATGAGAGAAGAAATGTCTATTTTGAAGAAACTAAGATTTGTTAAAATGCGTAATGTTAAGAGAAAATGCCAGTTGTAGAATAAAAGATCAAATATCCATGTTGAAAGAATAAATGAAACAAAAACGCAATACGCAACGTTTCTCTAGGCTTACGAAAGTTTTACAGACAAAACAAGATATTTGAAACAGACGCAAAGAAATATCAACATGTCATGTTAGGAAGCCAAATAGTTACAATAGAGACAGGGCCGACTCAAAGTACTAGCAACTCGGGCAATCGACCGGGACACCATCATGACGCCATGTCATGTTAGGCAGCCCAATATTTACAATAGAGATAGGGCCGACTCAAGGTACAGGCAACTCGGGCAGTCGACCGGGGCGTCATCACGCTGCCATGTCATGTTAGGAAGAGAGAGACAAGGCAGACTCAAGATACTGGCAACTCGGGCAATTAACCGGGGCGCAATCTTGCCGCCACGTCATGTTAGGAAACCAACGAGTTACAATAGGGAACAGTGTCGACTCAAGGTACAGGCAACTCGAGCAATAGATCGTAGCTCCATCATGTCACCATGTCATGTTAGGAAGCCAAATAGTTATAATAGAGACAGGGCCGACTCAAAATACTGGCAACTCGGGCAATCTATCGGGACGCCATCATACCGCCATCTCATGTTAGGCAGACCAATATTTACAATAGAGTCAGGGACGACTCAAGGCACTGGCAACTTGGGCAATCGACCGGAGCGCCATCATGCCACCATGCCATGTTAGGAAGCCAAATAGTTATGATTTTGGGATCATACTTGCGGTCGTCCATATCTCAAGATAGATTGAATTCTTTGGCTATTTTGTCAACAGAAAATGATCTTGTAACGAAGTTGCAGAAAGTGCCATGAAAACATTTGCAAATATAAAGGCTAGAAAAATATTTGAAGTAGGATAACGGACGTTTTTTTAGCTTGTATATTGTAATAAACTCATTATTCTAAATTTTTCAGTTTTTCTCCTTGTGAAAACATTAAAGATTATACTTGTAAGGGCACCTCGTCAAAATATTCTTCTTTAAACTTGTTTACTACAGCACAGATTTTTGTTATTTGTTGCAAAAGTTTCTCAATGCATAAATTTGATAATTGATTCTATTCTTTTTTCAGTAACACTAAGAGCTCTTTTTCAGATTTTGGATGGAAAGGTTTCACTCTTCTGTTAAGTTCATCGCAAGCTAATTCTGAGGGTTGCTTCAAACTTTTGACCTGTAGTGTATATGGGGAGATGACAAATGTGATAATGAGGAGAGCAAAATGTTAAAAGATCTGGAGAAAAACAAAGGAATCATCCAAGAACAGCAACATCAATATATTACAACAAAATGAATAAAAAAACGCGTTAACCAAATCTCACAAGTGGAAATCGACAAAATTCCAAACCTTCTTGCTTGACACTTTCGCTGCTACTCGTGCTATTATGGCAACACTGTTTAATAAAATGATGCTGGAGACTACAACAGCACCAGAACAGCTCTCACGAGATATCACCTTGCTACTAAAAGATAACGACACAGAAAACCCAGAAAGCTATCGACTTGCTTGTCAACATCTTACAAGTTGTTAAACTCTGTATTAACCGAAAGAACACACAACGATCATGGCTGCAGAGATCAGTTGCTTATAATTGGAATGGTTCTTGAAAATATTCAAGGCACGAAAATCTCAGGGTGGTATGGATCGATTACAAAAAGGCCTTTCACACCACCCAATACCCGTTGATCAAGGCCCTTGAAATATATAAAATCTCAAAGATATTTGTGGATATTCTAACGGCATAATATGCAATTCTGAAACGTTCTTTTCTTTTTATGTGCCATGTCTACATAGCCAGATACTTCTCCGAAGCAAAAATGCAATTTGCAACCAATTAGTAGCTAAGGAGTTCAGGACTTAAGGAGGTGAGATTGGAGGGTATTCTTGTTGTATCCGCTGCTTCCTCCCCCAGACTACGTTCTGTCATTCACTTGCTTAAGCCCACCTGGTATGTCACGCGTTGTTTTCCCTTGTATGTCTTTCCCTCTATTCGACCCGTGAATATCAGATTCTCCAGGCCCTCCTTCCTCATTATGTGTCCCAGGAACTTCAGCTGCCTCTTCTTGATATTAAGTATAAGCCTCCTCCTTGTTTGCAACCTCTCTAAGATCTCATCGTTGCTCACACACTCGGTCCATGATACCCTTAGCATTCTTCTGTAGAAGTCGAGTCTCTTCTGCAACATTCGCTGCCGCAAAAGAAAATCACGTCTTTCGCTTGTCCTGGGTCATCGGCAGCATGAAACAAATGCAGGACAAAAAGAATATTTTTAAAATAATAATAAGGAACCAAGAATTATAATTAAATATTAGGGCCTAAAAAAAGAACTTTTCCTTCTATGTGCCGTGTCCTTTCAGGACGTAGGCGATCATGGCTCCCCATCTCGATCCCTTGCAAGCTCTCAATAATTTCTATCCCTCTGCCACCTCTCCCAGGTCACGTTCTGTCATTCACTTGCTTAAGGCCACTAGATATGTCACGCGTTGTTTTCCCTTGTATGTCTTTCTCTCTATTCGACTCGTATCAGATTATCCAGGCCCACCTTCCTCATTATGTGTCCCAGAAACCTCAGCTGTCTCTTCCTGGTGTTAAGTATAAGCCTCCTCCTTGTTTGCATCCTCGCTTAGAACTCATCGTTGCTCACACGCTCGGTCCATGATATCCTTAGCATCCTTCTGTAGAACCACATCTCCTTCGCCTCGAGTCTGTTCTTCATCTTTGAGGAAATCGTGCAACATTCGCTGCCTCAAAGAAGGACCGATCTGAAGTGAATAGTAGTACGCGTCGTTACTGGAGCACTCGGAACGGTTTAAAACAGGTTGGTGGAGTTGAAAATCCGAGGAAGAGTTGGGGCAGTTACTGATCACAGTACTGTTAAAATCAGTAAGAATTTTGAGGCCCACGCGGGAGATTTGCTGTCACTCGATTTCCGACGATGACCACTGGATATTCCTGGCGGGAAAATTCAAATAGTAATCGACGAAATACTCCAATATGAATATCTTCACGACGAAAAAGTTGACTTAGTCAATAAAAGATAATTGCTATTTATTTCGGTGAGAATAATAATAATAAAAAAACGGATGAAAGAGAACGAACGTAGAATTAATAAAAAAAAACAACAAACAAACAAACAATATCCGATTAGTGTTTTTAAACATGTAACGATAGTTGATAAATTTATATTGTTAGATAGCCTTGTGTATGAGCATTAATCTGACAAGCGTGGGATGCTGACTGCTTAACTGAAGCGCAAAGACAGCAGCCTGGCACCTCCACCCCTCAACACTCTGGAACCTCAATGCTCGTTTTATTTCTTCTTTTCATCCTCTGGCCACCTGCAGTGGGAGCGAGAAATTCCAACCAAAATTCCTTCCATGACATCTATTCTTTGTTTTTGAATGTACGGAATGCTTCGGTCGCTTAATTTCGTTCCTTTGCAATCGTTAAATAACAGATAATAAATTCACATAAACTTCGTGCTTCTATCACTTTCGTTTTTAATCTCTCGTTTCCTTCTATTTACTTTCGTAGACTGGAGGATGGTTGGAATTGTAGTGAATTGAATCCACGCTCAACGCCATTCTTTGGTGTTAGAACGTAAGCAAAGTTTAAGAATTTTATTTAAAACAATTTATAAAACCTTACTTGCAGTCATCGTTTACTTAATTATCTGTAATTATCGCTTGTGTAAAATAGGCATATCAGTGTACACTCACACATGCCTGTGTAGATAGATAGATAGATAGATAGATAGATAGATAGATAGATAGATAGATAGATAGAGGAACAGCCTGGGATATATATATGTGTGTGTGTATGTGTGCGCGCGTGTGTGTGTGTAAAGAGAGAGAGAGAGAAAGAGAAGAGAGAGAAGGAAAGATAGAGAAAGACAGACAGACATAGAAAGCGGGAGATAGATAGATAGATAGATAGATAGATAGATAGATAGATAGATAGATAGATAGATAATAGATAGGAACATATATATATATATATATATATATATATATATATATATATATATATATATATATAGAGAGAGAGAGAGAGAGAGAGAGAACAGAGACAAACAAACAGAAATAGAGGTAAGGAGATAAACATAGATAGATAGATAGATAGATAGATAGATAGATAGATAGATAGAAGGGACGCAATTAGTACTTAAAAAAATGCAAAGTGATATTTAAGACTTAAATCGACTTGATCATAGCAAGTATATAAAATTTGAATTCCTTCCATATACCCCCAGGCGTGTATGTTTCAAAAACTAGTTGTAGACACGCATGCCTTCCTGAAAACCCCGCGAAGCCATGTGGGTTCCATGATATTTATATATATATATAGACTGGACAGGAGAGGAATATTCAGAATTAAACGCGATTCCAATAACCACTGTCCCTGTGATGATAGAGAAGAGACGCTAAAATAAGTGGGTGGGGATGGCTCAGAGAAAAGCAGGCAGAAGAACAAGAGAAGAAAACATAGTGAGTGAAAGAGAGGAGTCTGGGCAACTCCATGCGAAACAAACTGGGGAAGGCTGAGAGTGTACGAAAGAAGTAGAGGGAGGAGCTGCTGTTCCCCGGATGTTGGACTACCTGACATATCCTACTTAAACTACGTCTAAGATGGATGTGACTCCTCTTGTGTTCCTTCTGGTGCTATTTCTAGGCCTTATTGAAAGAGGTAAGTCATTCTTAAATTGTGCTGTTCTTTTTATTTTGCTTTTCTTATTTATTTCTTTTTTTTTAATGTGATTATTCACTTAGCGTTGGAGATCCTTGCCGCGTAAGATCCACCGACAGGTTGGTGACGCGGTTGTCTATTCGCTTTTATCTAAGAATCGCGCTATTTCGTTGTTGCTAATTCTAAGAATCTCTCCAGCAGACAATCAAGCATATACATACAGACATACCAGAAAGCATGCCGCTATCTTCTTAAATTCTTCGATTCGAGTTGTAATCTTTATTCTCTTTTTACTTTTCGTTTTCTTTTTCTAATTTTCTTTATTTAACTTTTACACAGATCTTTGCTAAGTTATTTATTTCTTCTCCCTTTCCTTCTCTTTATTTCCAATTTTTTCGCTTTCTTTTTCTTCATTCCTTGTTTTCATCTTTTTCTTGTATATTGTTTATTTGTTTGCTTTCGTTTTTTTTTCCATCGTTACAAATTTAAATTTCCTTGTTAAAGTTTTCATTTTCTTCATACTTTTTATCACTGGACTTTTTTCTCTTATTGTTAATGTTTTATTATTATTATTTACTTGCGTTTTAAAATCAAAGGTATCTACCCTCATTTCGCCTGTAAAATGAAATATTTCTTCTTACTGATTCTTCCAAACACAAGTAACTTTCCCGCGGATCTATCTCGCATCAGGCACTACATCCACCCCACATCACCCCCCACACACACACAAAAAAAAAGGAAGAAAAAGGAAAAACCATTCTCGCAGGAATTCTTCTCTAAAATTGAAATTCTTTCTTTTCCTAAACATGTTCCGTCTTAACAAAGAAAGAAAGAAAGAAAGAAAGAAAGAAAGAAAGAAAGAAAGAAAAAAAACTGTTGTCCTTCCTTCCTTCCTTCCTTCCTTCCTTCCTTCCTTCCTTCCTTCCTTCCTTCCTTCCTTCCTTCCTTCCTTCCTTCCTTCCTTCCTTCCTTTCCAAGATGCGTAAACAGACATATTATTCTTTTCTCTCTCTGCCATTCTCTCATAGCTTCCTCATACATTTTTGTATCCAAGACTTCTCGTTGTTTTCTTTATTTTTCCTCTGTTTCACTTACTTCTGGTCATATTTAGTATGCAGAGTGGAGATACCATTTCCTAAGTCAGTGAACCACTCCACCTCCGCCCAAATAATACCCGCATACTACTAGAACTGGCTTGTTCCTACAACCAGAGATTACAACTACTTGTTTGTAGCGGACGATTTAGTTGTTTATAAAATAAATGATCGAAAAAAAGAAACCTTAGAATTGGTATTGGTTGATGCGCCTGTCGTGTTATTTACCAATCGTTCTAATAGCAGAAATGCCGTTACAAACAATTCTTGTCATTTGGTTGGTCACTGCAAAGATTTTTTTTAATCTTTCATATGAAGAATATACGCACGTTTCTCGTTTTCAGAGCTTCTTACTTACTCTTACTTACTACTACTGTTTTGACGCGTTCTTTCATTCATTCTTTTTTCATTCATTTTCTTTACGGGCTTTTTTTTTGTTTGTTTGTTTGTTTTTGCCTCGTTTTCACTTCATCTATCTTCTCCAGCAATTTGTATTTTTACCTAACCGCCACATTTTTTTTTCTTTTTATTTACATAGATTCTTTTATTCAGTCCATCTATTTAATTACTTATCCCCATAAGTAGGTCTGTTCTTGTGCGCACGCGCGTGCTTGCGTGTGATTAAGTATTTATTTATTGACTAAGAAATCGTTTTTGCCTTCCTTAGAAATGCGTTTCTTGAAACGAATCAGTAAATTGTTCGCTTTATGGGAAATATCTTTTTCGTAACGCGAAAAAAGGTCAATATATTTTTTTCCTTCTCTTCTCCTCCTCCTTCTTATTCTTCTCCTCCTCCTTCTTTTCCTCTTTTCTTACTGTTTTGGTAGACAACCTTTACTTAAATTTACTTCATTTTCTTTCTTTCTTTTCTTTTTTTTCTATCTTTCTTTCTTTCTTTCTTTCTTTCTTTCTTTCTTTCTTTCTTTCTTTCTTTCTTTCTTTCTTTCGCATCCGGGTTCCAGTACAGTTATTTGAATGTTCTCTACGCTTTGTGGTTTCTACAACTGTTTATTCTTAATGTACAAAAAAAAAAAAAAGAAAAATTAAAAAAGCAAAATAAAATAAGAAAATTTCAACGTCGCTATCGACCCCATTAGCAATTTTTTCCCACCTCTTATCAATTAACCTTGTTATGAAATGTCTCATCAGGTGGCATTCGTTAAAGTGTACAATAAAGTCTGTGCAAAACTGATTTCTTTTTACTCGTTGATTTATATACCAGTCGTATCAAGTGTCTCACGCTAGATATTATTATTATTATTATTATCATTATTATTATTATTATTATTATTATTATTATTATTATTGGAGACTGGTTGTTATCGCGAGAAATGGACTGACAGTAAGTGTTCCCAATATCCAGCACTCTCCTCAGTATTCCAGCTGTTTTAGTAATGCTGTCATCTGGATGATTATCATTCACCAGCTGCATCTAATTGCGTCCACATGATATTTACTCAATACTCCAGCACTCTCCATAGTATTTTCTAGCAATTATAAGTAATGCTGTCTTCTGGATGGTTCCAATTATTACTAGAATTTTCATTTTTCAAATTCTTCTGATTTGTATGTAAGGCTAGTTCAACCTATTCCAGATGGGCCTATGGACAGTGCCTCACCTTCATATTTTCCAATTTTCCACTTTTTTTTTTCTTTTTTTTTTGTAAAGTCCAGATATTTTCCAGTTTGGTACAGCGACGTCCTCTAGATGACAAGTTTTTTTTTTATTTACTTATTTATTTATTTATTTATTATTCTATTTATTTCTTTATTGTTTACAATGACTAGATCTCGCATTCTGGCCTGGAGTGTGTGATTATATAACTTCTTAAAAGAAACAATTCTGCGGTCTTTTTCAATTTTATTCCGTGGTATGTTGAAGAACGACACCCACCCACCATCTGTCAAATCAAGTTAAAGAGCAGCACACCAACAAAGTGAAGCTGGGGTACAAACATGCAAAAAATCCAATATACCTATCATGTCACACAGTCTAAGAAGGGTATACAAGCCGTATTATCATTATTATTAAAAAAAATGATTGACGTAACTCTTCCATTATTTTTCAACACGTAGAGAAGAGCGCGATTTAAGAAACGAAAAACAAAAGACATTGTTTGACAATGTTCAACAATATTTCGACAGTATGTCTGTCTTCTTCATGTTATATGTTTAAAAAATTCTTTTACAAAAAATTTACAAGAAAATTATAAGCCTTTTCCGTAGATTTTTTTAATATTTTTATACTTGTATAGAATTTTTAAACACAACTTGAAGAAGACAAACATACTGTCGAAATATTGTTGAACATTTGTCAAATACTGTCTGTACTTTTTTTCTTAAATAGCGCCTTTCTCTTAAGTGTTACTGTTGTACTATTATTATTATTATTATTATTATTATTACTACTACTACTACTATTATATTTTGTGGGGGATCAGGGGTCGGGGGTCGGGTCCTCTCGACAACGATGTTTCGGGCGTAACTTAGAGACGCAACACTTTCCTTAGCACATGACCTGTTCCAATTATTATTATTATTATTGCTGCTATTGTTGTTCTGATAATCTTTTTAGAATTGGATCTGAGTGGTCGGTTAGATTTGCTTGTATTTTTTGTGGTTAATATTCCCATCAATTTGATCAATAAGGATTTAATTTAATAAAGAGAGACATGGTCTTTCGATTTCATCAATGTCATCTTTCCTTCCAATGCAAATCCTTGAAACATTTTTTGCTGCAATTTCTTACTACAATGTTGATATCACCGACAAAATAAAATCATCATCATCACATCATTTCGCTCCCAGGGCGGGTTTCATCACAATAAAACAACAGTAGTATAATGATATAACAACGATAGATATGAACATTCTACATTGCTTGGATCACAATTATTATCTGTTTATTTTTTCTTAAATCTTTCTGAAACTCAAGTATTTTCTGCGCCATAAGTTGAGGATATTTCTCCTTAACACTTAAACTTTTTAGACTATCGACTTTTTCGAGAAATCTTTGATCTTTCATCCACCCCCAGTAACGATGATGATGATGATGATGATGGTGGTGGTGGTGGTGGTCGTGGTGGTGGTGGTCGTGGTGGTGGTGGTGGTGGTCGTGGTGATGATGATGATGATGATGATGATGATGATGATGATGATGGTGGTCGTGATGATGATGGTGGTGGTGGTGGTGGTGGTGGTGGTGGTGGTGGTGGTGGTGGTGGTGGTGTTGATGATGATGATGGTGGTCGTGGTGGTGGTCGTCGTAAAGATGATGATGGTGGTGGTGGTGGTCGTCGTGATGATGATGATGATGATGATGATGATGATGATGATGATGATGGTGGTGGTGGTGGTGGTGGTGGTGGTGGTCGTGATGGTGGTGATGATGATGATGAAACTTCGTAAAGAATAAGCTATAATAATAAATATGTTAAAAAATAATTTACTATACCTTTTTTTATCGAATTGATCGACATAAATGGGGAACCGTGTGTTTGGTCAGCTGTAGCAAGGGCATTGTTATTTGGTTGGAAATTGGTGAGTTTTAATCGCAAAGCAACTACGATTTATTTACTGATCCCCTTTTTGTCCTGCAGGCATTTTATCGAACCTCTTTTGAATCCCCAGGAAATTATCGACCCCTACCACTACTACCACCATCACCACTACATCGTCTCATAAAACTCCAGAAGCTGATATCGACCACTTCGGGGGACCGCTACCCTATCAAGTATCGTTCCGCTATTGAATATTGAAAAAGGCCCAAAAAAAAAAAAAAAAAACGAAAGCAGACGTACACGTTGCTATAAACATTTAAAAACC